TGTACTTTTATGGCTTCTGACAGCCTCAGAAGAACATTCCCTACCCCAAAATTATAAAAAAATATCTTCTATACATTCTCCTCAAAACTTTATACTTTTTTTAAGACTTGGATTTTTAATCTATCTGGAATGTATTTTTAAATACTGAGTGAGTCATTTTTCTCCACATGACTGTCAATTGTTTCAACATAATTTGTTAAACCCATTCTTTCTTCCCTAATTTGACACAACAGTTTAGCATATCCCAACTTCTCATACATAGGTGGGCAGGACTATTTTGTCACATTAATCTAGTCATCTCTTCCTGTGCCAGTACCATACTGCTTATAGCACTTTACTGTACTTTTATTATAGCACTAAATGCAAATCTATCAACACACTGACTCCTCCAAATGAACTTTAGAGCCATTTTGTGAAGTTTCAAAAAAAAAATAATACTGTCCCAGAGACAGTAATGGCTGAGGAAAAACAAAAACAAAAAACTGCCTTTTATGGAAATTGCAGTGAATTTACGTTTATTTGGGGAAAACTGACATCTTTACAAAATGAAGACTGATCAACCATTTGGGAATATGGTACCTCTTCATCTATGCTAGGCTTTTTGGATTTTTTTGGTCCAGCAGTAAGCATTTATAGTTTTCTCTATATATTTCTTGTTAACGTTATTCCAAGGTACTTTAAGCTGTTGTTGTCAATGTAACCGAAAAACACTGTTTTTTTCCATTTTTTTCCCCCTATTTTCTAACTGGTGGTTACTGCTATCAAGGAAAGCTTTGGATCCTATATATGGTGACTTTGCTATACTCTTATTCTAAGAGATTTCCAGTGTAAGGTTTCTAAAAACAAAGCTAATGCGGTGTCTCTATGTTGTCTCCAGGATCAAGTTTAACCTCTTTTTATGGAACACAACCCTGCCCGACCTTGCCCCTATTCTCCACCCTATCCAGTATCCCCCAACATGCACTGTACTTTCCAGGCCAACATTCTTTTTTTTTTTTTTTTTTGACACGGAGTTTTGCTTTGTCTTCCAGGCTGGAGTGCAATGGCGCGATCTCGGCTCACTGCAACCCTCGCCTCCCAGGTTCAAGCGATTCTCCCGCCTCAGCCTCCAGAGTAGCTAGGATTACAGGTGCATGCCACCACACCCGGCTAATTTTTGTATTTTTAGTAGAGAGGGGTTTCGCCATGTTAGTTAGCCAGGCCTATCTCCAACTCCTGACCTCAAGTGATCCGCCCGCCTTGGCCTCCCGAAGTGTTGGGATTACAGGCGTGAGCCACAGTGCCCAGCCCCAGGCAACATACTTTCTTAAGGCAGCTTGAACAGGTCATGCATTTCCACATTGCCACACCTTTGCATATGCTGTTCACTCTGCTCTAAATTCCCTTCCCTGTTTCCCTCCTGCACTTCACCTTGCTTTTAACTTTTTCTGCAAACTTAGCTCAGGGGTCTTGCTCAGGGAGGGCTTCCCTGAACTCCTCCTATCCCAGACTGGGTAAGGTACTCCTGGTCTAGGAGCATCCTTGTGTTTACCTGATTCTTGTAGCTCTAGCACCACGAAAAATTTTTTCCTGTAAGTAACATAGGTGCATTTAATGAAACCGTGAAAAAGAAATCACCCTAATTCCGTCGGCAATTTGTTTTTAATATTTCAGTAGAGTTGCTTTTTTAAAATAAGGTTTGGAAGTCTAGCTTTCAGCTGCAGGTTTGTGAGCATCCTGAAATTAATAGTTCTTCCACCGATGCGTCAAAAGATGCAACACAACAGTGGACCTCGAAGCCAGGACCTAGGTAGGGGCAGGGCCTAGCTCCAGCTCTGCTACCCATAAATTCACATCCACCCTGTGCCTGGGACTCAACTGCAAGCCACACACACTGGCCCCGCCCATCCGGGGTCTCTTTCACCTGTCACCCGCCATCAACCCCGTCAGCTTTTCTCCAATGACACCCCGGGGTTGTCCTACAGGGCCGCCGAAGCCTGAAGCTCCTGTGAGTGTGGCTGGTAAGAGGCCATTTTGAAAAGGCCTCAGCATGGGCTTCGCCTTTAGATCCACGTCGCTTCTCCTTTCTAACCCGAGATGTGTCCCTTGGGTGCGAAGCGACTCCAGCGATTCTCTCAGAAGCCCCGGTGGCTCACTCCCAAGACCCCCAGGGGAGGCGGTCCCCATCCCTAGGGAAACCCGGCCCGCCCAGCCTTTGTTGTAGAAACTGCACTCGGAGCCATATTTGCTTTCAGCCAAAGGCAGACGTGGTCGCCGGAATCAGAAGGGCAGGGGCGGACCCGAAACCCGCCGTGAGCCCCACTTCTCCATCGCGCTCCTTCCTGGACTCTTGAGGAAGAGAAAGTGCGCTCCACCACCTAAGTTAAGGCCTGCGTCTCCACCTTCCACCTTCTCAATCTGCAGCAAGATGTCACAAGGGCTTCCCCGCAGCCATGATTTTTAACACCATGCCCCGGGCCAGGAGCCTCAGGGTGCTCGTTCGGGAAAATGGGAGCCAAATCAGGATCACCCCATGCGCCCCCGCACCCCGCCCCCGCCGGTTCCAAGGTCCGGGCACACCTAGAGCGGGGGGCTCTGAGGTGGACTTCCCGCGCCTCCTCGCAGCTTCCCTCCAACTCCACTAAACGGGCCCGAGGGGCACAGAGACGACACCACTGTCCCCGAGGCAGTCCGGTACCGGTCCCCGCTCCCGAGCTCCGCCAGAGCGCGCGAGGGCCTCCA